ATTTTACAACATAGGAAGCAAAAATAAATAAATCAAATTCATACACAATAAGTGTTTATTATAATTTGAAAAAGCAAATTTTACATGTCAATATAAATGGGGAATTAAAGAAATAAAGTTATGTTCAATAAAAATAATAATAATAATACAAATCAAAATACCTTCTATAAATACAATGACTAGAAAAAACTTAAGTGAGCCTTAAAAATGATCCTAAAATGTGTTAATGTTTGGATGATTTGCGCCAGATTTTCTAAAAATTTGTTTTTATGTTAAGGCACAATTGAATCTCAAACACTGCAGCCAGTGTCATTGTAATAATAAGAGTTACATTATAATCACCATTGAAGGATTTTTTATGTCCCTTTTTTGAAATTCATTTATAATTACAGAATTATAATGTTAATTATTTTTGTTATTATTATAGGAATAAAATAAACGAATGATTGCTCCCATATCTGATAAATCAGATTCCTTGCTTCAATTAAAAAATTATCAATGGATTTTATTATTATGTTTAAATTGCATTACAACAGACAATGAATTTTTGGTAAAAGTTAATAATAATATGATATACTTGGATCCATTTGTAATAGTATAAAATATATTTGTTTTATATAAATAAATAAATATTGTCTAAAAAATAATCTTATAATAATAAATAACAAGTTTACAACTATTATTTAAGTTGTAACAGCTATCCATTATGTCTTTGTAAAAGTTCCTGTTTTATAACTAAAAATCCGATCATTCGTCATCTGAACCAACTAGTTCCACAAATCTATCTCAAACACCACTTTTTTCTCACTTTTCTTTTAAAATATTCCTCTTGTTATGGTGTCTATAATATTATTTTTTTTGTAGAAAAAAAAATAAAGGAAAATAGCAGAAGCACTTAGGTGATTCATTAAAATATCAAGGGCTTATTTTACTTAATATTCCAACTCCGCCTGTTTTAGTATTATTTTACTTGGATCATGCGATTTATTTAATTGATTTTTTATAAATGATAACATCAAATGGCTTATAACCATCATTGATATTGTTAATGATACAGGATGTAAGGTATGTCACATAAAAAAGATAAATGGTATAGCAATTGGATTTGTTGGCGAAGCTAATACTAAAATTTGATTTTTTAAAAGTCGAAAACACGTAATAACGTTGATGATTCAAAGCTATAATTGACAAAGTATGATAATAATAATGAGTCATTGTAGGGGATTGAGCGGAAAGTTTTGATTGATTGGGTTCGGAAACTGACTACGAATTATGGTTTTGAAAGTTATACCACATTAAAGTCGGCAGAGTGTGAATTTTCTTTACGATTATAACATTTCGTCAAAAATGACTAATCGAAGTATATTTGCACGAAAAATTGTATTTGGAAAAATTTTCAAAGATTATATTTTTGTATCGGAAGAAAGCTTTGCTTAGTATTAATGGGATAAAGGAATGTTGATCGTTTCTTAAAAGATAAAAATCTGTGACAACAGAATAGCATTTTTATTGAGCGAGTTTCTGCCATTTACAAGCAGGCGCAATTTCAAATTCTGAAGCGGTTTTACAAATGTTTGACGTTTATTGTCACACGAATTTCCTTTTTCTGCATATATTCGATCAAAATAAAAAAAATTTCTTCATAAAAAAATAATTTAAATCATGGTATATATATATTATTCAATATAATAAAATCCTTCTTATATTAAATGTATTAAATGTTCACATATTATTTTAATTTTTAATAGAAAATTAAAGTCCTTTCTCGCGACATTTCAGAGTACACGCGCGAAAGTCCACAGGACATTCACAAAATTAAACGAAATTTTGATTCCAAATTGCACCCATTTGAAAAAGCAGTCGAGTATACAAGGGCTCTTAATGCTGTAAAATTGGAAAGACTATTTGCAAAACCATTTGTGGGGGCTTTGAGTGGTCATGGCGATGGTGTTTATTGTATGGCCAAACATCCCAAAAAATTGGCAACTATTATTTCAGGGAGTGTTGATGGAGAACTGAGGATTTGGGATTTAGCAGAACGAGAAAGTGTATGGAAAGTAACTGCACATAAAAGTTCTGTCAAAGGGATTTGTTGTAGTGCTTTAAATATGGGATTATATTTTTCATGTGGGACTGATAAAACTGTAAAAATATGGAATCCTGATGAAAATAACGATGAGGTATAATTTTATTTGTTTCAAAAAATAGGTTTATTTTGAAAAGCTTAAATATCGTCCCTTATTATTTTTTTAATTGATAAACTTATAGCCAGTAAATACATATATTGGAAAATCTGCATTTAGGTTTGTTATAAAGTATCCAAAAACTTTTTTTCTTCATAAAATGAATAGTTACATTGACAAATTATTAGTGCGATAGATCATCATCGTTCAAAACCAATATTTGTAACCTCTGGTTCGCAAATTGAAGTGTGGGATGAAAATAGGTAATTGATATATATTCAATCATAATTATATATCACATTACTAATAATATTTCATTCTTCTATTCATTCATTTATTAAGATCACGTCCAATTACAAGCATGGATTGGGGAGTTGATACAATTAACACTGTAAGATTAAATCAAACAGAGACAAATATTCTGGCAAGTTGTGGCACAGATCGAACAATAATTCTTTATGATCTAAGGACGAACTCTCCAGTATCAAAATTAATATTGCAAGTATGTTGTCCGTTATAATTCTTTTAAAACAAATGTTTTTAACAACAACTATTCTAATATTATATATATTTGCGAATATGTCTAGATGAGAACAAATGCTATCGCTTGGAATCCAATGGAGGCTTTTAATTTTACTGCAGTATGTATTAATTATAATGATAATAATTTATATAAATTTTTATAATAATTTTGTATTAATATATCCAAATTAATTAAATTATAAAGGCTAATGAAGATCATAATTGTTATACTTTTGATATGAGAAAAATGAAAAGTGCATTAAACATTCTTAAAGATCATGTTTCAGCTGTGTAAAGTGTTCTTTAATTTTATTTTTAGAAAGTGGATAAATATTATGATGATGATTGATTTAATATTAATATTAATAACATTATTATGGTTGAAAAAATCATTACCAAAATAGATTAGATGTAGATTATTCACCAACAGGTGAAGAAATAGTTACCGGTTCATATGATAAAACTCTTAGAATATTTTCAGCACGTCAAGGTCACAGTCGAGATATATATCACACAAAACGAATGCAACGTTTATTCTGTGTCAAATTTAGTATGGACTCGAAATATGTTCTTTCAGGATCTGATGATGGAAATGTTCGACTTTGGAAAGCTAATGCATCTGAAAAAATTGGTCCTGTATGTGTTAAGGAAAATTATGGGAAATTTTTCTTGATTAAATAGATAATTAAAATTTGATTTATGTGCAATCTTTATTAGATTTGTGTATTTATTCTTCTATTTGTTTATTTTATAGAGAGATTATAGGGAACGATCATATTTGGAGTATTCGGAAAAACTTAAAGCACGCTATAAACATCTTCCAGAGGTTAAAAGAATTACAAGGTAAATAATAATTACAATAATCAATCAATCAATCATTTAATTAATATGTTGTTATTTTCATAAAATAATATATAAATAGACACAGGCATATACCAAAACCAATCAAGAATGCACAAGAAAAACATCGGATCATGTTACAATCTCAAAAACGAAAAGAAGAAAATCTACGAAGACACTCGAAAAAAGGATCAGTTCCTTATCAAGCAGAAAGAAAAAAACCAATTGTTTCTATCGACAAATAATAAATACTTTAGTACATATTTATTTATATGTGTGTGTTAATGAATTTTTAATATTACAGTCTAATTATTTTCATTCTTGAAATAAATTGTTCAAATTCAGAATTTTTTGTTGTAGTGGATGAATAGTTAATTTTGCATATATCCCGTTGGATTGATTATAGAAATGTAGCCAGGATTTAATACAAATTACATTGTCAATAATCTATTATATTAATATTAATAACCTAATTACATTTATATATGATATCATATAAATAACACGTTTGTAAATATTTACCTTTGCAAAAAATGAAGAAGTTACAAGTATGTCAAAAGTTGTTTGTAATTGAAGATTTAAAGTACTTTTTGCTTCAAGATTTATTTCATTAATTATAGGTGGAAATGATAATATTAATTGTTTTAATATTGTTATTATAATACTTACTGTAAAAAAAATAAGGCTTTGACTGCTTGTGTGATCACTTGTTGGTATCAAGCACCTGAAATATTATTAGGTGAAAGGTTTTATACTATTGCAATTGATGTATGGGCCATTGGTTGTGTTTTCGGCGGAGTTCTTAAAAGATGCCTTATACAGGGTTGGCAAATTGACTGGTCCATTGAGAACTGATGGACTTCGGACTAGTCCATTGCCATTAATAAAATACTAATTATGGATCCGATAGAACCACCAATGAACTACACATTTGCCAAATCTGCCTTATACTAATGGGAAATTCACATATTGAACAACTTCTAAAAATATGCAAGTTATGTGGCGCACCTTCAGAAAAAGTGACCAAAATGGAAAAAGTAGCTAGTTATTTTTGATGAATTTGAATTGTAAGTTCAATTTATTTATTGATAAATTGTTCAGTTAATAACAGCTTATTAGTCAATTACAGAAACTATGACGCTTTGGCTGTTGATTTACTTGATAAATTACCAGTTCTAGATCCAGAAAAAAAGCTTAGTGTATTTGAAGCCCTGAATCATGAATATTTTCAGACAAATCCTTTGCCAGCAAATCCTGATTATTTACCAAAATATGAATCCAGTCATGAATACAATTCTCATAAAGAAAAAGATAGAAGAAAACATCATATAAGTTATTGTAAAAATGATAACAACTATATCAGACAGGTAGGGTGGAAAAAATGGGCATAAAAAATTAGGTTTACACACTGCTGTAATAAAAATGGCATTAACTTTTGGGGTAGAATTTACAACTTTTTATATGTTCCCTTGCATACCAGTCCAGTCCAAACATAATTACCCAAGGTCTTACAATAACAGTACAAAGATGGCTATGGAAGGAATAACATTGCCAACTAACACCAACATCTTTTCTTCTTCAAATCTATGAACTAAATTTATTTTTTTAATAAATATCTTAAATATTTTTTTTCTGTATAATATAACCAATCAATCATCCACTTGCTCACTATAAATTACCCACTCAAGCAAGATTTAATCAAATATTAATATCATCAAAATTTATATATTGATATTAAAAAATTCACTTATTAAAGTAGTCACGAATTCCACCCATCTATTGTTTTAATTATTAAAAAAAAAGATATATTTATTAAAGAATAAGTAAATGTATGTATAAGCAGTAAATATATGCATGAGCATTTATATATTTGTATTAATATACTTTACATTGATTTGATACTGTATTGGTTTTTTATTATCAGAGTATGGTGACTTTATTAATTTTGCACATCTGAGTTAAAATTTTTTATTAATAATCTTATTATTAATACCACTATTATTGATTTATTATTTAAAACTTACCGAATTTCATTATGCCAATAAAGTTCAATACGATTTGTGCTATGATGCCCCCAACTTTCACCTATATCATTTTTATAATTAGTTATCATTATTAATAATTTTTCTCAATTAATGTAAAATTAAATACTTAATGCAGGAACTAAAGTTGCAGAACTCCCTTCTGATTTTTCTATTTTTGTTGTTAATTGATTAAGCAAAACAATCTATATTATCAATGATAAGAATCATATTTATATATATATTGTAAGAAAAGTAACATATACCATTATCAATTAATTAGATTAATAAACACATACTGCTAGATCAAACTCTGTAACAAATTTTGTTAAATCTTGAGAAAATTTGTTTAATAAACGAGTTCTCATTTTAATATCATGAATTTGTGAAAATAAATATGAAATTGAATCTATTACAATTAATTTGATCTGTAAATTTTCCAAAAAAAAAAATAAAAAATAAAAGTTTAATAATAAAAAATTATTAAATATAAAAATAAACAATCATAGATTATTATTATTACTGAATGATCTTTAATGAAATTTTTGAGTGCTGAATCTTTAAATAATTCAAATGTTAAGCCAAGATAATGTACAACTCTTTTCACATGGACCTTTGATAGTATAGTATCTTCATCTAAATATAATAGTAATATTGATATACGTAAATATATTATAATATAATTTAAAATGTTATTTATAAATACCCATTCCAAATTTAACAGGAATTATTGAAGCAGTTTCTCTAGCAATTTCTTGTGCTCGGCTAGGATAAAAAGTTCCTTCTGTGTCTTAAAAGCGAAAATATTTATAAATATTCATCATACTTGTATCTTTTATATAGTCATATAAACATTTATGCATGATTACCTATAAAAAGTGCTTCTCCTTGAGGACCGTTTAAACAATCAGGTATTTGAACATTAACACATAATTGTATTCTAGTCAGATCAACAACAAAAATCTATTAATTTTGAATACATAACAATTAATCATATTTTTTTTTTTTAATATATCTAATATATATATATATATATATATATGTATGTATGTATATATATAATTAATATTCAAGGAAAAAAGACATTCATTTTTTCTCTCTTTCAATTTAATACTTACCCTAATGTTGTCTTGCCAACAGTCAGTGTACCATAAAATTCTGTGATTTTACCAAGTTGAACACCACCTCCAAGTAGTTGGTCAAACGAATTAGAAAGCGTTGAAATACGTTTTAATTGAATTTCATGATTTCTTGTTTCTATTCCTGTTAAATATTTGATTTCTTCATAAATAATTAAATTAATAAATAGATAAATACTAAACAATTTTTGAAAATTATCATTATCATCTTTTATTTTTTAATACTTGGTCTTTTTTTAACTTGTTCCAATATATCAAAAGCTTCTACATAAGGAATACGTAACTCTAGAAATATTAAATTTACATTAAAATTCATAAATTATTATATATATACACACGTGTTTATTAAAATACCTTCACTTAAGGTATTAATATCTATATTTAATAAATCTTTGACAGTTTCGAATCGCGAAAATAGTAATTTTTTTCTTGTCACTGGTTCAATATTAATATCGAGTGAAGTTATTAATCTTAAATCACTCATAGTATTAGTATAGTTTTTTTCAAAAAATTTTTTTGGAAAAATGCGCTAATCAAATTGTGGATGGCCGCGTAACTCTAATATAGTAATGAAAATCAATTTTTTTTAATATTTTGTGTATATACAGAGAAGATGAACCTTTGACAGGTGGAAAATTACGTAAAACACGAACTTAATATTGTATATTGAATATCTTATAATTTGTATATAGTTGTATAATTTTTCCCATAAAATACATAACTTTTTCATCACGAACATCTCCAACATTTGGCAAGTGATACAGGGCATTCCATGGCAACAATACTCTAAATTTGCAAAAGATCTAGCAGACAATTGACAAATGCATAAGTAAAAACATATTTTTTTAAAAAAGGACAATGATGATAAAAAGCTTGCGATTTCGCACAACATCATGAATAATACAAGATAACTACTGTACTAAATTGTTCTCTGAATGTAATTTGAATATTAGAAATACAATGACGATTACAAATTGTACTAAAGAAAACATTAGCAAATCTGATTATCAAAAGATTTTTGTCCATTCTTTGCCTAAATAATAATCAATACGATAAGTCTACAAGCACAAAAGTCCATATATATATAAAGATAAAGTTAGATAGGTAAAGGATATACTTGAGGAGGTAAACAAAACACTAAAAGCACTTGTGCCTCCTGTTCCAACACAAAACATTGGGTAATTGCTGCTAGAAATTATATTAAATTATTAAATTATGAAGGTTAGCAATAATACCGTTATTTTTTTTTTGGCTACTAACAGCTTCGAATAAAATATTTACCGCAATCAAATACGGGGATCAACCTCACTTGCGTGAAAATATTTGTATTTGTTAATTCATGCAAGAAAGTACAAGCCCTCATTCACATCCAGATTTTCAGAGCACCATGTTTTCATGTAGTGTCGAGGAAGAAAGGCTGCTTAAATCTAATCCTGTTTTTTAAAAGTTTGGACGAAGGGAATAAAGCAATGAAATCATTTAACTCCTTTAGCTTAAACTTATTGAATAGATTATACCAAAGAAAAACTAGCAGGCTCAACAAAGCCATCTAGAATTGCCTCTCCACCCACTGTTGATGAAGATGAAAGGCAATCAACAGAAAATTCAATGCCAAATATCAATAATCCTATCATTAATTGGATCATTGAACGAAGCTAGCCATACACAGTTCAAAGTATACACGTCAAAATTAATTTTAATTGCGTTATTTATATAATATAGTGTGTTGCAGAAAAAACAGGAAAAATCAAATTACTCATCATGGAACAACCACTGCATTAATTCATATAGAAAATATTTCCATTCGATAGGTTAAGAGCAGAACTTTTATTGAATATATTTTAATACGAAATACTTTCACTATTGATTTTTTTTATCAAAGTAAATTAATTAGAAATAAATCAGGAATTGGATTCCACTTTTCTATGATGAATCGTCTCACATCTTTAAATTTTAACTTCTATCACATTATTTATAATTGATTATCAAAATTTTAAATAATAATAAATTGTGATATGTCACGTGATTCCAAAGATGATTCCGTTTCTTCGAACGATTAACGTTCCTATAAGCCACATTGCCCGTTTCATACAACTTATTAATATTGAAATAGTTATTTGAGAATGGAGTGTTAACAATCTGGTATATTTGTTAGGTGAATGTATCTCATTTATTCTAATAACATAATTGCAAAAAGCAAGTAAAATTCAACCATATTGTGAACTTTAAAAGCAAATTACCTAACACCTAATTGCCAGATTCAGTTAAAAAATGATTTAAAATGATTTAAAAAAGCAAAGCTTTGTTTGAAAATTTATTTGAGTCAAGTTGGTGAATTTTTAGTGATATTATAAAAAGTTTTTTGACAACAATAATTTTCCGGTTTTTTTTGCAACACACTATATATCCAATATGCCTTTCATGCAACTTCTATCACACGTATAATCTGATTCATTTAGTAATTTGATTGGTTAATCGAACACTTTATACTTTGTTGAACAATTTTAACAGTTTACGTCTATACTTAAATATTTAAATACTTAAACCCTTTTACAAATCGCTTACACATAACAACGACTTAAACACAAATCAAACCTTTGCTTCTTTACTAAATATAAACAAAACTCATTATCCGTCGTTAACACTACACTGGTTAATACCAAATCTTTGCTTTCTTACTAAAGCAAATAACCAAAACCTCGGAGTTCTATACCAATATAGACAATTAAACAAGTCCTACTGTTTAATTTTCGACCACAAAAGTATTCGAACAAGCGAAAAATGAATTATTTTATTTTATTAAACTATTAAATTGTGAAATTTTTAATTACGGAACAGATTATTTGTAAAGAAATAATTTAGGATTAATTTCTGTCCCTCATGAGCTCGGCTCTGATATATTAAATAATTAATTAACTATATAGTTAATTAATAAGTGAACTTATTTATAACAAATTTATTTTATTCCTTTAAAAATTAATTTCTTTTATATAAATTAATAAAACGAACATGTAGAAGGCCAATCAATCGTATTGCGGACATGTGATCTCGTCTCTTTTGTATGCCCTCACATTATTTCTGTTTAGATGGCTCATAGACGTGTACACATTCATGCGACTACTTGTTGACATGGTCTCTTAGTAAGGATTTCTTCATCAAAATCCAACTTCATAAGAAATTTTCTTCTCGCGTCATACTTCCAGAATCGTTGATCTCAAACTCCTCATTACGGATGTATGTATTTTTCTCCATAAATTTGTTTTGTGTCATCCAATGATTGTAATAAATAAGAAATCGCTTTGTTTGCGAATAATAAAAATCAGAATATTCCATATTACACGTTTCACAAATTGAAGAAAATAAATTTCGTTATTAAATAATTGTTTATTCGTTAAATACTTCAAGTAATGAATTCACGATTGATTCTGGGTGATCAGATGACTTCCGCAGTAAGTTCGTGTTAATTGATCAACACTAATCGGGACAATTAGTAGGTCCAAGATTTACTATCTCACAATATATATATATATATAAAATAAAACATATTTTTTATCCAAAAGAAAATTAAAACATGTAACAAATTTGCAGCTGCTAATATAAAAAATAACCATCCTTCATTATTATTATCTTATAAGTTTCTTTTGACTTGTTGTGCTAGATATATCTTAGCAACCCAAGATGACTTTGAACCCCCATATTTCAAAAAATTAATTGAAACAAGGGTTCATAAGGTTCCAAAATTCCATTATGAGCTTAACTACATTGAAATGTATAGGGATAACTAAATGATATGTTAGGCAACATAGAAATTGCACATGGAAAGGTCCTCAAGAGAATGTTTCCAGGGTCTTTGATTCTATATCATTGGAACAGATCAGAAAATATCCAAGAAGAGCCACCAAATTTATGTAGTCTTACAAAAAGCTTAATATATTCTAGATAACGTTATAGGAGTAAATTGGATACTGATTAATGATCGGCATTTTTGGAAAGTCATCTGGGTCTTTTGTGAATAAAATTTGTAAATTTATTTTTCATTAATTATGATATCATAACATTAATAATAATTAAAAGTTTCACTTATCTGATCAAAAATTATTTTATTAATATTAATAAGTAATAAATATCAACACATTTTTTAATGAAAATGAGCAATAAAAGACTAACAAAAATTCATTGGTGTCCTCAATGGTAAAAAAACTCAAAATTATTACTATGATTATTATTATTATTTGATCTAATCAATTAATTTTTTAAATTTTCCAGTCATAATTCTTTACGACCAATATTTCAACGTGATATTAATTTATTATTGTTAAAATGCCGTTGTTGTAAGTTTTCACAAGAAGCTACTGAAGAATCTTATAAAATATTTTCAAAGAATTATACGAACGAGACTAGGTAAACAACAAATAAGCTGAAGAAGAAGGAATCAATATTATTTGGCACACGTATTAACATTAGCATCAATAATATATAACATTAATAGTAATATTTATTATTCGAAATTTTTCTTTTTAGAGATCCTAAAGATGAAATTACACAAGAAACATTAAATGATCCAACTATGAAAAGGTCATTAATTAAGTGTGATAAATGTTTTCAATTAACAGAGGCAGTAGAATACCATGCAAATAGTAATGAAAGCATAAAAGTGTAAGCGACATGCAATTTTGATCATAAAATCAAATTTTGCAATTATAATTTTTCATAATAATTCATTCTTTTTTCGTTAACATAAAGGATTTATGTTTGTGAAGAATGTATGAATGATCAGATAATTATTCATGATGAAAATGAAACGGATCACAATGAATATGAATATGAGTATGAAGAATATGAAGATGAGGAAATGAATTTGATCAGAAACGATCTTAATAATATTAGCTTGATTAATCACTATAATAATGTTTATAATGATAATATGAAAGTAGTTGATGACTGTGATAACGATGAAGATTATTAAAAATAATATTAGAGCATAATGATGATGATGATGATGATAATTAAATAATTAAATAATTAATAAATAATTAAATTGGCTTCATGGAATTAGTTGATGGGTGAACAAGAGAGAATAATCAAAAACTGTCTTCTTCTTACACTCAAGTTGTTCTGCCTCACGTTTGCATATACTTGTAAAGCGCACAGTATTATTTTTATTTTGCGCAAGGAAAACATTATGGGTGCAAACGATGTCATTTACCTTTTTTATTTGTTTAAATGTGATCGAAGAAGAAATTAATTGTCTTTCCAGCTAATAATTGACCAATAACATGTATTCTAGTTGAGTCACGCCTAAAAGTGATACCTAGATTATCAATAATTTAAATAATAATCATAGGAATAGATAGAGTTTCAGACAGCAAACAAGTGGTCTTATTGTTGAAACTCGCGTCATTTATTTTTGCTTTAAATAAAAGCTACTGGCCTCATTAAAAAATGTTTTTCCCTCGATTAAACAAAATTATTTTATTTTCATAGTAATCAATTATATAACCTTTTATCATGGACTAAATCCACCTTCAATTAATTTTGTAACATATGGAAAAAATGATCATTCTATGAAATATTTGTTATAGCCAAGTTATATTGACTCCTTTTTTAAAGCTGAATTGAATTAAATGGAGGTGATTTTTTTAAAGTTTCCTAGTTGTTAAATTAAATTTAATTCGCGAAGGAGAGAATTTTCACTCAAAAAAGATTTCATTTTGTTATAGCGCTTATATTTCAACAAGACAATTAAATATTACAAATAAAATCTTTTTCTTTGGACTGTAAAGGCTTTCTTTTCAATGATCCGATATTGCAAAATTCTATCATTGACATTATTAATAATAAATATGGATAAATAAATTTCTTTGCCATATGTGAAGAAAATTCAAACTTATCCATATATGATTTAAACCTCCATCTGCTTATGAAATTTAGATGATGGGATTTGATCAAAGATTTATCAAGTTATCTCAAAATAATTATTACAGTCAAATCATATTATATTATATTTATACTGCACAACAAAATTATATACCAAAGACAATAGCAAACAAAAGCATCTAAAGAATCTTTTATAATTATAGTATATCAAACCTTCATCACAACCTTCAGTATCACAACAAAAAAGTATCAACTTTGCCCAGAAAACTTTCTATTTGTAATAATGCATACCTCAATTATTTGTTATTCAAACAACCAATCATTGAATGTAACTTGGATGTTCAAAATTAATAACTTTCACTTGAATAGAAAACTTTAAAACAATAAATAACAAATAACATCAATGTGAAGAATTCGTATTTCTCGTTTCAATAATTAAATTTGTACTAATTAAAATTTTTTCCGTATATTTTTTTTTCTAGAGATTAAACCATTACAATATTGCTTTTACAACCGTTACTAATATTTCTTCTTTATTATTACATTTCATAAAATGAAAAAATCAAGACGCGTTCGAATTGTTTTTAGCACCCGAGCTTGAAACACAGATAGACAGGTCAACACTGATGTGTAGAATAATTTTTACATAGAGTTGTAAATTTTAATTTTGAAGATTTAAAAGTAATAAAAATAAAAAACAAAAATCCTTTTGTTGATAAATCAATCACTAGAATTTGGCGATGAAGTTGTTTTTTTAAATAATGCAATTTTCATTTTTCAAAATTTATATTAATTCTTTATCAATTGATCATGTCAAAGCAAAATTTAAAAGCAATCAAATAAACTATTTAACTGTCAAAAAAAAAAAAACCATTGATATAATTAAATCACCAATTTTTGAAAGCTGTTTACTATTACGTATTTTAATCAGATCTGCAATTTTTTCTTATTCTGGCAAAATAAGAGTCGTATGGCAAAGGTTTCATTTGTTAAACTTGTTAAAGAGGAGAGGAGAAAGAGCGTATTTCATTTATTTATACAAATATTTTTTTACTTCTTTTAAAATTTAACACGTATTAGCAATGATAGAATTTCACACGTATAGTCCTCAGATGACTAATTATTACTATTATTATCTATGTTTTTGAGTGCACTCATCGAATAAAAAAAAACTGAAAATTACAAATCTTTATAATCGGCCAGAAATTACTATTTTTGGATTTCTGAACATTTTTTTTATGCCAAGAAACATGTTTTTGCATTTAAAATCCAACGATTTTAAGTCTCCAACTTATGCACCTAATAGCCTCTACTTGAAATCTACATTTATCCGGTGATTGATTCTTGATTCGGGTGGCTGCTGATATACGAGATCATAACTGTGGACCATTATCCATCATTAATTGTTATTACTATCAATCAACGTGTTCATTACGAAATCATTGGTAAACATGTACCTACGTAACTAAATGTTTATTTTTACACTGCGTGGACTGTTTATTGTCATGCATGTCATCCACATTTAGATGTTATTTTTATATAGAGGTATTTGCATTGCTTCAAACTACAGATGCAATTTATTACACGTGATTCGACATTATGATGGTAGTAAAAGTTTTAATCTAGTGTTTTTGATGAATTGGATGTATAAAAATACTGCCAATGAATTCATTCTATTGTCTTGAAATGATTCAGTGTAATAATAAAAAATTATCCAATACAGAAAAGGCCCTAATTTTTGAAACGTTCAAAAGGTTGTACAGTCAAAGCTCATTAACCAGAGCTTCTTTACATGTATGTTATATTATTTTTATTTATTTTTATTTTTTAAGTTATTCAGAGATAAATTATACTATATAAAATTTTAAGATTCATTTTCATCTGGTCGAGGAACTGGCCCCAAGAAATAAGAAATCACAATACAAAAAATTAAAGATACAACAGATGCCCATAAACAAGCATAGAAATCTAAATAATAAAACAAAATCCCCCCAATAATTAAACCCCACGCTCTACCAAGAGCATTTGCCATATAATAAAATCCTATATTTGCTGCCACCTTATCATGTTTACAATATGCCAATATCAGAAATGAGTGTATTGATGAATTTATTGCAAATATAAGTGCAAATAAAAATAACCCAACAAATAATAACACTAATAATGAAACATATTTTGATGTGATGGATGGCGATAGTTGGACTATAGTCATTCCAATAGCTACACCAATTGATAATAATAGTAGAAGAAATGTTGCCGGGACTAAAACTTTGCCACTTTTTAATGGATATTGTTTAATTGGTTTTAAAATTAGCTGTGGAGTACTTGATTGTACAAATCCATAAAACATCACCCACCCTGCAAGGAACGCTCCAGTTGGAATATATGACCTATATATATATATGGTAGATATTATTTATTATTACCATCATTATTTTTTTTTATATAAAACTTATTTTACATACCAGCCAATTGAAGGTCCGCGTAAAAATAGTGGTAGTGGAACTTCAAACCATAAATCACGTGATCCGAACAAAAACATTCTAGCAACAGATAGTATGTTTACATCTCTTCCTTTGAAAAAGATTTGTTTCAAAGTTAATTTTTTCTTTGATTTGGATACAGCCAAATTTCCATCGAGATAAAACCAAGCAAGTGGCATGATGATCAAGTTCATCAACAATAAAACAATCAATGATGGAACGTATTGAATAAAATTCAGGAGAAAAGCTCCCCAGAAGAAGCCAGCACCCTTAATCGAATTTTTTGCACCAGTCAACCAAGCAACCAATTTGAACAATCTGGGTTTTTCTTGATCATTTGTTACCAGTTTTGTAACTGACTTACCACCTATTTTGACCAGATCTTTTGCAATACCACTGAAACCTTGCGCAATAACTATATAAATGATCACTACCGCTTTACTCCAATCAGCTTGTAATCCACATAATATGGCTATTCCAATTACTTGTGCTGTCAAACCAACCAATAAACAAAACCTCAATCCTAATCTTGATCCCATTATTCCTCCAAATAAATTTGTAAAAATTCCAATAAATTCGTATAATATAAACATATAAGAGATTTCGAGTGCCTAGGAAAGAAAGATAAATCATTATAAAAAATTTTATTTTGATCAGAAAACAAATAAAAAATAAAAAAATGAATCAATGAGAAATTACATTATATCTACGTTGAAATAATTCTAATAATACAGTCATTCTTAAAGAAGAATCAGTCATTGTAAAAAGTAAGTAGCCACTTGCTATCACATAAAAATTTCTCATTTCTATGCATTGTTTTTTATTGTTTTCTGGTGGTATTGTATTTGTATCTTTATCTTTATTGATTTCTTCATCTTTATCTGCTGTATCTCCTTTTTCTATCATTATTTATTATTAATTTTTTAGAGAAAAAAAATTAAATCAAAAATTAAAATCTCGTTGAATATTTAAGCAGAATTATGTAACACGAGAAATGTTATTGAACTAGATATGTTAATCGGTCCGTAACCGCTCAGTCTGGTCCTGGAACTTGTAGTTCTATCCTGGGACTGGACCGGACTTTAAGTCCTGGGATTTGAAGTCCTGAAAAAGTCTTGAGCTTTCTTTAAACATAAAATGTTTGGAGTATTGCGAGATAGCTTTTTGGTCAACTTCAATTAATTATTTTACGAATTTACCCTGCTTTCTTGTGCCCAGAATGCCTCTATGAATCTGCAAGCACAATTTATAGTATAAATAACAACGAATTATAATAAAAGCAACAAAGGTTCCTATAAAGTTTTTATTTTATTTTTTACTTTAAATTTTACTTTTCTTTGGTCGATTAAAGTCAGACATATGTCTAGAACAATTGCTTTAACACAATACAACCTGTGATAACGATAGCTATTAGCTCTTTGTATAGGTGATCGATCGGTAATAACTGTTAACAATACTTTTACCAATTGGTATTAACACTTTACGTTTACACTTAAATAATTAAAGTTTACAAAAAGTTAAACAAAAATGTTTATGCGTAATTAGTGTTAAGAGACCTTATCCGGTAATTAACGGATTACTGTGTTGTGACAGGTTAACGTTAATATCAAGAAATTTTGCATAACGGTTGTTAACGGTTTACAGTTAGCTTATTATTAGAGGATTCGTTAACAATCCGTTAACCCGTTAACGATAATATCAATATTAATATTACAATTAACAATCCATTAATCCGTTAATAATATTGATTTTTTTTTATTATGCTGGAGTGAGAACTTTTTGACCATGTTTATTTATCTAATAGTAATATAGTATGAATCCTGCCTATTACAATTAAAATAAAATTATCACAATCTTTCAAAGTGTTTGTGTACAGATTTATTAATTATTTTTCAATGAAAAGAAAATTTTTTAAACGATATAGAGAAACATGTAAAAGAACACGGATGAAACCTGATTTTTTTAAAAAAATTAAAAAATAAATCCTCCAAAACAAAAATTAAATAAAATAAATATTTAATTATTTATAAATAAATGTTTTGGTTTATTATTAATATTATTTGCTATTTTAATATCAATGGATTAACACATTACCGATCCGGATGCAACACATGCGTAATAGTAACAAAAAACCAAAATCAAACCTTTGCTTCATATCAAAGTAAATATTCAAAATCCTCGCAGGTCCATATTAATATCACAAATAAAACGAATAAAACAATAAAACAAATAAAATGAATATTACAAATAAAACAAATAAAATAAACAAATAAAACAAACAAAACAAACAAAACCATTTTTCCCTAAATTTTTACCCAAAAACTCGGTATTGTTTTTCAATCATATATTATATAATGTCTGTACATACGGGCCAATGACATTTATTTTTTTACAAGTCATCATACACAAATCTATAACGCACATAATAATCAGTCTTATGTTCCTAAGTAAAGTTATTCTCCTATGACCATTAAATACATTAGTAATATGAATCCCGTTTCAAAAAAAAAACAATAAAAAAGAATCCCGTTTCAAAAATTACCGTTTATAATATGGTATAATTATTTATAAGAAAAGGAATGAGAAGGAATATACTTGTCAAGTACGTCGAATTAATAAATCAAAAAATGGAGAAGGTTGACAGAAACTGCATCAAAAAAAATATAATAATGAAAATATTAAATTAGAAATTGGGATTGTTTATGTAGTAGTTGTTATGACTTACATCTCTACCCTAATCATAATAATAATAAGTTTTTAATTTTTTACCGTCAAAACCTTTATACAATATAAATAATTCACTATCTAATAATTTTACTACTACCTCCACCGCCACTACTACTTCTTTTCCCTGTAAAAAACGACACTCCAGAATATTTCTATTATATCTCCGTGATCATGTTTATCACTCCGTAATGTTCAGTTTATATATAAAAGCAGCAACCAGTTGAGTAAGCAATCCGATTTTTTCCATAATGTCATTTATATTATTAATATAGGGACATTTGTAAATTTGGAATTAAAACAGAATGTGAGAATAAGATTTTATAGTTCTGGAATATTATCAAGTAACTGATAAACTCGCAAAAAATGGGCGTTTTTTTTTCTTACAAAGCATTTTATTTGTAAACTATAACTTGATTAAAAACATACTAATATACTAATACGGAAATCACACGGAAATATATAGATTATTATTATTATTAATTAGCTAGTCACATGACATTTCCCGCAGGTTGTAGAATAATAAAATTGGATGATTAAACCACCACCAATTCTGTATGTGATTTTTAAAAGAATAGAAGTTCATTTCTGTATATCGTTTTTAAAAAAATAGCTCTGTTATGACATATATTAGGACCAAGCTTTAATGTGACAGAGAGTTTTTTCAAAATATTGATGGGTTGTTGAGTTCTATTCCTTTTTAGTACATATATTTTATTATGTTCGCGAGGAATTTGGCCGCTTAAATTTGGGCGGAAATCATGACATCTACCACTTTCTTCTACTGTCCTATGGAAAATAATGCTAAAATTCCACATTATCAACACTAAGAAAATGAAATAATATTCTTCTTTTATTATTATAAATATTTGTGTTTGTATATATGACTAATTTTTTACACAATGGGTGGTAATTAAAGATAGCTATAATCTTGTCATGATTACAAATAACAAAAAACATCCTGCTAATGATGATGTTTATGAAGAAAATGATGATAATAATAATGCTGAACAAAAACACAGTAATAAAATTTTAACTTTTAATTTTGAAATTTGTTTTACAAATTATTTATTTTATTAAATCATTAAGTCTGGAAATAATTTACAGAAGAGTTAAAATAATTTTCTTGTTTATATTAGTATATAATTACTTTAATTTTATGTTGCGTAATAACTCCTCTGGCAGAATTTCAGTAGGTTACACGAATTCTTTATTAGAGTTTCAGCAGGGCTTTGCATTTGGGGGTTTTGACGATTGGCAGAGTTTCAGCAGTCTTTAAGAAGTTTCGGCAAGCAACCTTGATGGTACCTATATACAAAAATACAAAGATTTACTCTGATACTGGTACGTTGCAACTGTCAATTTTAAATAACTCGCAGCAATAAAATTCTCATGCATGCGGATTTTTTAATGCAGTGTTGTACGATTTATAAAAAATGCTTAGAGAACAAAGTTTGGTCAATGGAGTAAATAAAATATTTCAAAGGATTTGGAAAGTATCTTGTATAAAGTTATTGGTCAATTAACGACGAATCGTTAAAATGAATAGATATCAAATTGTTGTTTTTTATTTTTTTCAATGTATCCTTAATTAATTAAATCGTTTGTAAGAGTCCTTTTACGAGTAAGCTCTCATGTTACCTTATTCTCAAGAGACAAGACAAGATTAATAGACAAAGATAGCAGCGTAATTATTTCGTAAACATTTGAATCAATGGTTTTATAACAAGTATAAAAGCAAATATAGTAGAACAAGTGATGAAATGTATGAATATTCGCATTAATTAGTAAAAATTCTGAAACAAAATGATGATAATAAAGAATATGACATAAAATGGCAATAAATAAATAAATAAGTTCGTTTTTTATTGATCAATAAAAGTCAAGATATTTTAATTAAAAAAAAAAAAAACACCAAGAAACTATTTTTCTCATATACAGAACTCTGTACACAAATATTAATATTAATATACTAGTAGAATGCAATTTAAAAATTTCAAATTCACGCACAAGAGTTTATTGTAAAATTGTAAAATTGGAGGCATAATAAAATATCAAATCAAATTCATTCGAGATGTTTGTTTACTTTTGCTCTGATTCTTCTTCTATGGTAAAGGATTTTAGTATAGTTCCGTTAAAAAGTCAGTTTCAGATCTGTAAACGTGAAAGTCACAATGGGTTAGATAACAACACAGGCAACAAACAACATTAAAAACAGATGACAAACAATAGTCGAAAATATATACATAATGATAAAATATACAATAAACTTTTAAATCAAAGTCCATTACTATGTACATTCTATTCAATCTAATATTATTAATAAAACAAAAATACGATTGAGCTGTCTTTAGTATCTGACTTTGAAACAACATGTGCCGATCAATGTTGGTACATAGAATGACTTTTACATAGCACATAGGACAGGTTTTTGATGCAGATTTTGCAAGTTTTAAAAATGCTGAAATTCTTTTAGGGAATTGTTATTCGCACCCTCCCGTGACTAAGTGTATTAATGTGACCAATGAATGGCTCTAAAATGTGATGATTTTATTGGTTCATCCTTGTCTTAGTCACGGGAGGGGTGCGAATAACAATTCTCTTCTTTTATTGTTGAATCACGACGATAAATCAATCACTGGAGTTTGATGATAATGAAGTTGTCCTTTAAATAATTCAATTTCGTTTTTCAATTTTTCAAGGTTTATATTAATTCTTTATCAATTAATTCCTAAACTATTTTACTACCAAAAAAAACCCCCATTGTAACGATATGTGAATTATTATTATTATCATTACCAAGAAGTGTATTACGAAAAAATTGTTTGTTACACGCAATTTATTTAATTCTCGCAAGAAAAAGGAAATAATCAAAAAAAATCACCAGGTCAAACTTTATGTTTTATATTTTATATAATGTCATATGTTAACCGATTATCACTATTATCACCAGAAAGAAGGGAATTTGTATTTAAATTTTATATTGAAACACTTAACAATGCTAATGTTAATACTGATAGGAAAAATAGAAAAGATTATTTTTTTTCATCAGTCAAAGAAAACAAGGAGCTTTCTGAAAA